ATGCCTCTAAATCGAAACCCTCTGCATATGAGCTCTAATGGGCACTTGTGTGCTAGCATCAGGGGCCACTGAACCACAGGAACACCCGGCGGGGTCTCTTCCCTGCCTGCTGCCTCTGCTGCCCAGTTCGTGCCGAGCCCTTGGTGCACAGACGCCCTCGCGCCCGGGGGGTCCCACTGCACTGATGTGTCTGGTGCAACACATGAGAACACCACTCCCTGAGAGCTACGCCCTGTCACACTGTGCCCCGACTAGAACATTCTTCCAGAACCCGGCCAGGAGGTTCCCCAAGAGGAAAGGACTCAAAGGGATTTCCACGAAGAACCAGAATCAAAAGCATTCCTGTACATTCAAAGTCAGGAGCCCAGACAATTCCCCCTTTGTCCTGATTAAGTAAAGAAAGGTATGGGCAGTAGTAGGACACTACTAGAGAAGGGGGGACACACTTAACATCAATAAGGGTACCTGATCTCAACCCAGGCGAAGTCGGGACCCAAGGGAGGCCCAAATTTACCTGTACGATGACCACCTGTATACCTAATCCTGAAGTGTACTCACAATTTTCAAATTAAAAAATGAAAAATTATTTATATTTGGGGGAAAAAAATTTAAAAGGCACGGAATAGTTTACTCTCATGAGATTTCTCTTGCAACCCAGGGCCGGACACTCCCCTCTCAGTCAAAAGTTTGGCCTCATAAACGTCCATAATTTTCTCACTGAAATAATTTTTTTAAAGGAGGAAATTGCTAGAAAGTTATATGATCACTATTTTTGCCAGTGTTTCGTGGCTGTCCCAAGACTTTCTGGCAACTTGAACTTCTAGCCAGCAGGTGAGTGGAGTTCATGGGTCGTAGGTTCGCGGGACATGAACGTAGCCACCTACACAGCACCTGGCTCTTGCTCACAGCACAAGGACATGGTTGCACTTCAATAACCTGGGGTGTCAGATTCAGACGCTCAACTCATTTCCATTGCAAAATACAGAGTTTCGTGGCAGCCAAAGTGGCACCAGGTGGAAGAGACCTCTAAAATATTTTGTCAACGTGACAAAACCCTTAAACCTCAGATCTGCCACAGAACCACGTTCCAGTGGAGGAGGGGGGCTTAATAGTCCCAATCTGAGCCCAGCTTAAGAAATTTGAATTTTTTTTGAAGTCAATAAGCAGCTGGGTTTGCAGGCTCCAAAGCACTGGACACATCCCCCGCACCATGTCCTGGACTCCCGGCCTGCTGGTCTCCTTCCACAGGCTGCCGGTCCGAGAAAATCCATCCTACATTCCATAAAGTCCAACCCAAGAACTAAGCATTTCTGCCCAGGGCAAAATGCTGAGACCCTCTCTCCTTGCATGTGTAATCAAGAGCTCTGGAAATTAATTTTACCCTCTTCGTCAGGGCTCCTAAGAAGCAGATTGCAAGTCCAAGCAAGAGTCCAATGAAGGAGCTGGGGACCCCCAAATGTCTCCCCGAGGATGGAAGCACTTGTGTTTCCGCGGGGGCACTGAAACATCCACCTATGAGTCTGGGGGTGCCGTCACAGTTTTATCAGTACCAGCTCAGTCCCACCCCCTGCCTCTCCAGCTACCCTGGGACATTGAGACCATCTCTGGTACCGCTGTCTGCCATGTGCCTCATGCAGATAACCATCTGGGCACTCTGGAGACACCAAGCCCTGCCATCAGGTGGCGGGCAGGTGGGACAGACCTGAGGCCCTGCCTTCCTGTCCAATGCTGCTTTTTCATCTACACAGGGGAGTCTCTGGGCTCCTCAACACCTCTGCAAAGCAGAGGGAAGACAGGTTCATTTTTTGCACCTTGCAGTCCTGTTAAAAAGGCCACGGTGACAAGGCGGCAGGGAAAGACACATCAAAGCTCAGGTCAAAGGAAAGCTGGATTCGTGCGACTCCCAGGGGAGCAGAGTGTCCAACAGCACCGAGAGGCGGCCTGGGAAGGAGGCTGAGGACTGAGGCTGGACCTATTACTCCGGGCTGAGATCAGACCCCGCCTCCACAGGCCATCGCCATGAGCCGCAAGCCTGCAGAGCGCACTCAGCTTTTGGCCTCATAGCTAAAGCCGTCACCTAGGTGTGGGAGCCCAGTCCAGCAGCAGAGTTGTGTACATGCAGCCATCTGAGAGGGAGGGAGGAAGACACCCCAGCCTGGCCTCCCAGGACCCGCCTCCCATGCCCAGCTCCCCACAGCCCTGCCATCAGCCTGCCTCTGACACCCAGAGCACCAGCACCCTTTTACGCTGTGCTACTGTTTGGAGCAAAATCCTCCCGGACTGAGAAAGCCACTGAGCCTTGTTACACGTTCATACCTCAGCGTGAATGGGTTTTTTGTTTTGTTTTGTTTTTTTTGAGTTGGAGTCTCACTGTCACCCAGACTGGAGTGCAGTGGACACTCCCGGCCACCGCAGCCTCGACCTGCTGGGCTCCGGCGATCCTTCAGCCTCAACCTTCCAAGTAGTTGGAACTACAGGTACACGCTACCACGCCCGGCTCATTTTGATTTATTGTAGAGATGAGGTCTCGCCAAGTTGCCCAGGCGGGTCTCGAACCCGTGGGCTCAGGCAATCCACTCACCTCAGCCTCCCAAAGGCGCGGGATTACAGGCTGAGCCGCTGAGCCACCGAACCTGGCTGTGAGTGGGTTAATCAGAGCCTTTCCTGAGAGTGGTTTGGAGTTGGGATTAGGAAAACACAACCTTTTTAAAATAGAATGTAACGTGAAATTTACCATCTGAACCGTCTTTAAGCAGACAGTTCAGTGGCATTAAGCACAGTCATGCGGTTGCTCAGTCATCACTGCTATCAACTCCAGGATGCTCCCTCTTCCAGGCGGAAGCTCTGTCCTCCTAAATCACTCCCCAGCCCCCTCCCCAGCCCTTGCCACCTCCATTTTCCCATGAATCTGGCAAATGCAGGAGCCTCCTGTAGGTGGAACTGAACAGCATTTGTCCTTCGCACCTGGCTGCTTTGCTTAGCAGAATGTCCCCAAGTTTGATCCACGGTGTAGCGAGTGTCAGGCTCTCCGTCCTTTTAAAGGATCAACAACCTCCCACTGCATGGATACATCATGTGTGTTTATCTGTCCATCCACCAGCAGACACGTGGGTGGCCTCCACATTTTGGCCACTGTACACTTGCACCATGTGTGCACATATCTCTCTTTGGGTGCCCCTGTTTTCGGTTCTTTTGTGCCTACCCAAAAGTGAGAATTCTGGATCCTATGTAATTCAACTTTTAGTTTTTTGAGGGACTTCCAAACTGTTTTCCATGGTGGTCACACCATTTTTGTCCCCAGTCAGACACAGGGTTCCAGTTTCTCCACATCCCCATCAACACTTGGACTTTTCTGAAAAACACACTTTTTAAAACAACAATAACAACAACAAAAAGGAAAGAAGGAAGGCAGGGATATAAGTGTCAAATAAGAAACGTCTAAATTTTATATGAAATTATCAGGGCACAGTTGTTCCTTGAACTATGAACTGGTAAAGCTGCAAAATTAGCAGCTCAAAACCACCAGTCAGTCATTCAACCGACGTTCACTGAGCACCTACTGTGCATCCTGTGACAGGTGCTGGAGAGACAGTGAGGGAGGTGATAGCCAAGGCTCCTGTGGTCACATGACCCACATCCTCATGGGGGCCACAGACAAGCATGTAAGTGAAGATGTGATCAACTAGGGGATGGCAAGAGACATCAAGAGCATGACCACGGGTGATGTCACATAGAGAAAGGGAGGTGGAAGGAGGGTGTCAGGGTGGACAGCTGGGAATGCCCGCTGGGAGGGGCGTTTAACCTGAGGCTTGAAAGGCCAGAAGCTTCTGGCTGTTCAGAGATGAGAGAACAGTGTTCTAAGCAGAGAAAATCACTGATGCTAAGACAAGCTTGGGGGCCCAAGGAACAGGAGGAGGTCAGGGGGTGAAGCTTGAGAGTCAGAGATGGCCTGGCCAGCTGCAGCGGGACAGGACGGCAGCCACAGCAGGAGTGAAGCTTTATGTAAGGATGGCACTGGCGGGCTTGGGCATGAGAGCCGCGGGATCTGGTGGCCTCACAAGATCACTCCAACTGCCGCGGGGAAGATGGCTGTGGGATGACAAGACGGGAGATGGGCCAGTACAAAATGGCTTTGGCATCTGGGCAAGAGACAATGATAGTGGTGGTGGTGGGAGGAGGAGGAGTGCTGAGGCATATCAGGAGCTGGCGAGGCTGGCTGGTGTGTGCAGAATCTCCCAGATTTCTGTGTTGGGAACTTAATGCCCCGTGGGGCAGTGAGAGGTGGGGCCTTTAAGGAGTGATTAGATCATGACTAGGTGAATGTAGTCATGGATTAAGGGGCTGTGACAGGAGGGGTGTACTGGTTTGAGAAGGAGAGGAAAAGAAAGCTGAGCCAGTCTACCCAACCTCCCAGCCTGTGATGTCCTGCACCCTCAGGACTCTGTAGAGTCCCTAACAGCAAGAAGGTTCTCACCAGATGCAGCCCCTCATCCTTGGACTTCTCAGCCTCTACAACCACAAGAAATAAATTCCCTTTCCTTATAAATGACCCAGTTTCAAGTATTCTGTTATAAGCAACAGAAAATGGATCAAGACTGGGAGTGAGATTCAGGGAAGGAAGGGCAGCGTCCACAAGGCCCAGTATCTTGGCTTGAGCAATTGGGCAGTGGCCGTGCTATTCACTAGAGAAGAAATGGGCAGCGGCAGTGGGCACCTACAGGTTTATCCTGCCTTGTAGTTAAGGGCATGGTTCTTGGTGGCCTTCCAAGTGCAAACAAGTAGCAGACTGTGGCTAGGATGCCATGGGGTGCTTCACGTGCCGGGCATGTGACAAAGACAGAGAGACCTGGCCCAGGGTCTTGGCCATCCTCCCATGGGAGATCCAGTGAGTCCTCCCTCCCCACTTCCCCGTGGCTCCTCCCTTCCCCCAACTGCCCCACCCCGGGGGCCCAAGATGCTTTGTGGATGAGGTCCTCAGTTACCTTGTCATGTTGCCGGGCCTTTGCAGGAAGGCCTGCATGTTGGGAACTCAGGCGACCCTCTCCCTGGGCAGCATCCGTCAGTTCATTTTCCTGAGACAAAAGAAAGAGACACATGAGAGGGTGCCCTATGTTTAGAGGCCTGGTGGAACACAAGGGTCAAGTGCTCTGACTGGGAGATTACACCCAGGGTTGGGCATTTAGTCTGCAATCCGCAGCTGTGTGCGATTTGGGACTGGTTTTCCTTTTTTCTGACCCATAAGTTTCCCAGTCTACAAAATACCATGGTGTTATACTTTACAATGATAAGAAAATATATATTAAGAAGTTAGTGCAGTGCCTAGCAGATCAATCCCATCTGATTCTCAGTGTACCCACCTGCATTACTTGTCTTATTCTTAAAGAAGAAACAGAACTTCTCACCAATGAAGCTGCTAAGTCAAACTTTGACCTGCCCTTTTCCCCACAAACTCTGCTCCAAACATAAGGCCACAATAAAGAATTAAGAGGAAGCTTTAACATACTTTGCTTACTCAAAAGTAAGATAAACCTATCAAAGAATTACAAATAGCTGGAACACAATATGGTGAGTAGAACTCCTGGAAGCTTCTAGATTCAGAGTCTGGAAATAGGGAGAGAGAAGAAAGAATTCAACCTTTTTAGGTTATCTGAGATTCATCATGTTCTACCTGAGGCAGGACGTCTAACTAAGGTCACTACGTGGCAACTAATACCCCAACCAGGAGGCTGAAAATAATCCGACTTATATCCAGAGCCATGGCTTATAGAAGGTCGCTCACCCACAGAGGCAGGAGAGAGGAGACCCACCAGCTCAATATCAAGACTTGTCCTACTCCTTGATATCACCATGGCATAAGAACTCTGAGCTGCCAGTAGTAAAATCCAATGCAAGACAGAGAGTTCCCAGGTGAGGTGTGGTAACTACAGATAGGTAGGACAAGGACAGTGAGCATAGAAATAGAGAAACTGGAGGTTAAAATCTCCCATTCAAGATGAGTCTCCAAATAGCAATTCAAAACACATAAAGAAAATTAACACTACAAAAAAAATTCCACTAGATCAATAGTTAGGATAAATTTATGTCAAAAGAAATACAAATAATAAGGCAACCAGAAAATGACTTCAACAAGTGAGCTGAGGAATCCTTGCAAAGATAAAAGAAGAAAAAACATCCATTCTAAAAGTTCAAGAAAGATGCAGTCTGGATAATTAGTGACCCATGGTAGAAAGCTCTGGAACCCCACTAGCCATCAGGTCACAGTTTTCTCCCTGCTCCATTCTTTAAGTCTGTTCTCTGTTCACGCCATAAATGAATTGATATATTTGGGCTACCCACCTCTTGAATTGATGTGATTCATCTCCAATATAGTATTTCAAGTGCTCAGTGTTTACACTCCATTCACACAGTAGAAAAGTGGCAAGAAATCATGTGGCTTCAAACATATCCCACAAGGAGAAAGGCTCCTCCTGGCTATTTTGAGGTTCCATATTTCAGTCAACCTTCCCCTCCTCTTGGCCACGATCACTACAGGCTCTGCCACATTTTGGCACCCACCAAGTTTCCACACAATGAAGGAACCTACACACAACTGTGGCTTATTCCTGGGAAATAATGATCCCCCAGCCTCTAGGAGCTGATGATGGCATGCTCTCCTCTTCTCTGACATGTTCCTAATAACACATTTATGGTTGGTTTTCTCAAGTAAAGCAGATGATGACGTCCTGCACTGGCTCCTTGAGAAACCTATGAATGTCCTAGCAAATCCCCAAAGTGGGAATCTCTGGAGGCCATAAGAGGATGGGTGTTTTCATCAAAACACTTGGCAGCTCACCCTGGAGCCCTTACACGCTCCCAGTTCAACTAAGGTCACAATAGCTCAGAGAATTTGAGAATCGGAGGCACTTAAAATAGAGGTTGGGTTATGGGTTCAAATCGCTTAAATACAAACTGGAGCTCCCCAAATGGGGCCTTGGACAAGCTGCCTGGCATTCCAACACTTTGATCTAAGGGTGTAAAAGAACCAACCTATCAGGTGCGTGAGGATTCAAGGACATCGCTCTAGAGCACCAAGCAACCCTCACTGCGCATGATCGAGGTCCAGACATGCAGGCCCCTTCCCTATGGAAGGCACCATTATGACTGCTCACACCTTCCACATTCTGCCACCAAACAGCCACCTAGTTCAGGCCATCCACACCCCTCCACCCCCGCCACTGCCTCATTCAGGAAGAGTGAATTGCAAGAAAGGCACATTGGATACAGAAACAGGGCTAATCTTTTATCCAATTTTCTGGAGGCTGTAGAAATGCCTACATCCATTTATTTTATTTCTATTCCATCTCAGCAATCCGAGGTCAAGTGCTTAACCTGGCGAAATCAATCTTCCCAAGAAAAAAGTTCAGGGCCTGCATCCATCTGGGAGGCACTGAGCCAGAGCAGTGCCACACAGAGGGAGAGAAGCAGCACCTCCCCCCATGCAGCCCCCAAACTGGTCCCAGCAGGAATGGGCACTTGGGGTACCACGCGCCATCCTGGTCCCCTCCTGTCCCCCAAAGAGCCAGTCACAGAGAAGTCTACTGACACACTGCATCATCTCAAAACAGACAGTCCCCCACTCCATGCTTCAAGAATCATAGACTAGCCCAGCACCAAAGCCTGCCCTACAGCGATGCTGAAAGAAACCCATTCACTGACAAAGACATCATGATAAAGGCCCAAAGGAAGAGCAAATGTACCAGACGGCACCTCCTCAGACTACGTGAGCATTCATCGGAAGACGAACATCCTTCCAATTCATCCATCCCCGAAGAAGTCTGGGACAGCATGGGAGGGGCGTGAGATTTCAGACTTTGGTCCTCACTGCCCCTGCAGAAGCACAGACACTACTAGGACATGCATATACTTGCAGGCCTCAGGGGAAGTTCAGAAAACGCAGACTGCTCACCCTTCCAATCCGATTAAGATGCTGAAATGCAGCGAGACTTACCCTGGAAAGCCTCATAACTGACCCTGCAGGGCTGAGCTGTTCACCCAGGGAAGGGACCACTGCCCCAGTTAGATCAAGCCTTTCTGAATTAATCAGCACCTCCCGAGAAATGTCACCAGGCAAGACAGAGCTCACGTTTGTGTCGGGCGTGTGCTTGAGACCAGAAGGCATCCGAAAGGTGTGGCTTATAGTCGCCACACCACAAAACCAGTCTCCAAGCAGCCAGTGCGGCACCAGCTTTGACAATTCCCAGGAGGAGGAGGAAGAGGAGGACCGGGTGGATTTAACACAATCTGACACTCCTGTCTGAGCAACAGGGGTTTCCACAGCCCAGGGTGAGGCAGCCAGCAGGCAGGGCCTCAGAGCACACATGTACATACATGGTTCCACACTGCCATATAACAGATGCCCCACTGTGTCCCCTTGCTGTGGCGTTCTGATACTTTGACGATGATCACACCTAAGTGCCCAGTCATTGACTTGGATGACTCATGCCCACAGCCTGTATGGCGAGTTCGTGACACATGTGCTGCCAGGACGGGGAGGGACTTTCCAAATTCTGGCGGCACGCCCCTCCGCCTCAGTCTCACCCTGAAACAACCGTTGTGATGCAGCCCCCGAGCCGTCTGTCTTTCTGCTTCTTTGGATACGTGACAGCTTCCTTTCCCAGGGGAGAACTCAGAGCACTGCGGTGGAAATGGTTGTAATCATGGCTCCTCTAAGCCTAAAGTCATGCAAGGCGAGAGGGTTTGGGGTTTCCTGGACAGTGATGCCCAAGGAGACGGCCCTGGCCTATTCCCTAAGGACCAGAAGGAGCAGTTTGCTGGATGGCACTGTCTGCAGCCACAGCTGGGAGGTTGCTTCTTCTTTCCACTTTGTGGGTGGACACACACAGGACCCAGGACCTCAGGACCAGGGCCGTGTGCTGGCCTGGGCACGCTGGGGCTGGATTTGGGACAGCTAGGCCTGGACCCTCGACACCATCCCCACGGGACAGCCACACAACGTGCCATTCCCCCCGTGGGGTGACCACACAACTTGCCGGTTATGGACACTTTTTAACCCATGAACACCCACTCATATATTCAATAGGAACAGCCTTATTTGATTTTCTAGCTGTTAGGAAGCAAAATTATCAGCAAGAAACAAATTCTGATGAGGACAAGAGAGGAAGGAAAGCGTTATGGCAAGAGTTTCTTTGGGTTGGTTTGGTTTTTTGTTTCTGTTTATTTTTTTGAGGGACAGGGTCTCCACACATCACCCAGGCTGGAGTGCAGTGGCACAATCACAATTCAATACAGTCTCGAATTCCTGGAATCAAGCGATCCTCCCTCTTCTGCCTCCTGAGTAGCTGGGACTACAGGCTTGCACCACCATGCCTGGCTAATTTTGTTGAATTAATTTTTTTAAGGAAATTGAGTCTTGCTATGTTGCCCAGGCTGATCTTGAACTCCCGGCCCCAAGAGAGTCTCCCGCCTCGGGCTCCCAAAGCACTGGAAATACAAGTGTGAGTCATGGCACCCAGCCAAGGCAAAAGTTTCAAACCCAACTGCCCACAAGACAGAGGTGTGTAACACACCGGGGTGGACAGGGTCAGATAGATGCAGGAGCATTCCAGAGGACAGGGGACGTGGCCAATGCCAGAGCCCAGGCCCCATCCTAAGAGGCCATGCTCCATGGGGACAAGAGAGTCCCTGGGGCACCGTTTTGAGAAGACTTTGGGTTTCTACCTGAAATATCCCTGAGTGGATATGTTGGCTGCCCCTTCAAATGCTCCCTCCCCAAACCAAAATGTCTACGGGATGAGTTTGGCTTAAAGATGGGCACTTGACGGAAGCTGCCAGACCTGTTTGGTATCCAAGCATCATGGCGGGAGGGGAGGTGCAGAGACCCCAGTGCAGGGTGCGGACCCCCTCAGGCAGAGGCGCCTTTGGGTCTCATGCTGCCTGGGCCACCTGCCGGGCCGTGCTGGGGCCCCAGATCTGCCTTTTGAGGTCCTTCCCCGCAGCATGTCTCCACTTGGAGATGGGCTCTTACAGGGATCAAGGTTCATTGAGGTCAGAGGGCGGATCCTAGTCCAAGAGG